GCTGTTTTTTTCTTGTGATTTGTCTATGTGATGAATAGCTGCTTTGGACTGAGCCTTTATCCTTGTCTCTGTTAGCTCTTGCTTTGCCTTGATTTCCTCTATGAATTTGCGAAGACTTTTGTTGACGCCAGGAATTGTGATGCTCGACGACTTTTAGTTTTCCGTGTTATACATTTTGACTTGACTGCCATGATCTCTACAAAAATATTTTTTTGTGGTTTCTTGCGTGCAATAGATGTTGATCAATTCTGTACTTTTTTTTGATATTGTGTTATAGCTAGATAGCTGCATACGCAATTCAAATCTGATGCAAAAAAAAGGTGTTGATCAGAAACAGGGTGTGAAATCATCTTAGAGGGTTAGATGGTGCAATGGTTACGCGGTGTCTCGTGGCTTCTGACTACAACTTGGACGTGGTAAAGCTTGAGACTAGATTGCGTGCCTCGTGTAAGAGACCTATGCTATAATTAAATACACTCTTAACCTCCTCGCCATCTTTTACACATCGTGCGCCATCCCTGAATACTAATTGCCTCCATACTGCGCACTGAAAGCTGCTACCTTTCCCCAGCATTTGACTACATCTCACTTATCTTAGCGTAGGACTGATTTTGCCTCTGGCTTACTTAGACGACTGGGATTCTTGGGATCCACAACAGTCCAGGCGGCTAAGCGCTTCACTCATTCCCTACTATATTCTGAAAGTTCACTTTGCCATGCATTATTGATCATTGCAGTATTTGGAATGTGAAGATTACATATACTTGGGGAGGAGTTAGAACGTTAATAGAAATACAAGTTTACACCTGGTCTCAAGCTCTACACGCATTTAGATTGTCGTAGGCGGAGCCACGAGACATCCGTGAATTTCACAGTCAACAGTCAACATTTATCATTTAATTCTTACAATGTGCACAATAAACGTCAACATAGTCAAAGCCACAGCATAAAAGATTGTGGCACTATCTAGGCATAGGAAAGCCCAACTACCTCCGTGTGACCGCGCCGTACAGGGGGTCTATTCTCAACACCTGTCAGTGGTGTCTCCTGTTGGAATGGAAGTTGTATAGAGAAGCGTGAGCTATTAGACTTGTATTTAATATCACCTAGTGAAGCAAGTTGGGAGATTGAAGAGTCTGAAAACTATAGTGGAGAGTTCTTGATTAAACCCACTTAGTATCAGAGCGCTATTTAAACTAATTACTACATCTAAGTGAAGGACACGATTCACTTGTTTATGCTAAATAATTGGGAGGCTGGTCAATGAATGATTTGTCATGAATGTGGCTAGTAATAATAGAACCTTATTACGTTCCGTATTAATGCGCCTCTTCATTGCCAAGTAGCGCCAATTTCAACATCCCCTACGAACCTCCAGCTCTCACTATAGGGTTTGCAGTGCCGAAGTTGGGTAACAAAGTCCTCACTTCGACGAGGATTCCCATTCGCTTTCGCGGTCTGTATCGTCTTCATCTCCCAACACATTCCCCTATCACCATTATCATGAAGTTAACCACGATCAGTTTAGATGGAAGGGTCGAAGCCTTTCTCATCACCAACACTTGATCATGGAGGAGAAGCCATCCGATGAGTTTCCGGAGCGTAGCCAGCACCCGATACTGAGATGGTGGATTGAATCAAGTCGGCCTCGAATGTTCCAAAGTAGGGAGATGTAGATGAATATGCGTATCTTATCTGGACCCGGTGTCTAGGCCTCGCCTAGCTGGGGTTGCAGGTTTTTTGAGACTTTTTCCCGTGTACGCAGTCTTCATAACTACCATTTTTATTTCATTGGATAGAAGGTTCCGTGGAACGGGTGGCCGAAATCCACGAGTAAACACTGAGCTGAATGGCTATTCATCAAGGGCAATATATCAATGATCTTTCAAAAAACATGAGAGGCAAGGAGCACTGTACAAGGCGTGACCTGGGTTAGAGAGGAGCCCTGTTGGGATATTGAGAAAGTAGAGTCACGAGAGTAAGATAATACAGATGGTATTTTGCGATATGTGGGGAATGTATAGATATGATACTAGGAGTGAAGAGTGATAAAGATGTGTTATGTACTAAGGATGTAAACACCTTTCACTTGAACAACTAGCCGACTAAGCAGCATTTCCTGAGAAGCCCGATGTGCTAGATATTCATAGACTCAAGTAGGACAATAAATATAAATACTTACTCACCACGCCGTACAGCCGCTCATATACTGGCAGGTAGCCTGAGGCACTACTCTACAGCTTATTCCAACTTCTCAACTACACACATGATCGTTTCGGGAATGTAACGGCTTGTGAGCCGATTGTTGCGTGGCACGTGACTATATTCACGCGCCTCTATAATTCTATAGTGGTCTAGCTTTATTCCAGATCAGTTCAGCTGTGACTGGAATATTCTATTAATTGGTAGCAGGACTGGGGACTACCATGACTGGAATATATGAGAAGCAGATATCAGCCAAGAAAGAGTATTCTAGAGATCTTCATAAATGTATGAATGGTTGAAGTAATACTCTGATAGTTAGTGTCTAGGGGTAGCATTTCACCTACTCATGTAAACTGAGCTATACAGGTCACATGACCTTCATAGCAGTACATAGATTTCATCTGTAGCTATAGGGTTCTTTAGTCAACATTTACAACGTAATACCGTGTCCCACATATCTTTATTAAGAGTTAGCCATAGAAAAAATTATAAACTACCTTCGTATATCTGATTGCTCCAGCATTGTCACTCGAATCGTGACAGGGAACCAAGACAAAATGAAGGGTCCGTACGTTCACAACACTCTGTACCCCCATCTTCAACATCTAACGAGTGAAAGAGGAGTCAGGTTTCGTTGGCTCAGGCCACAAATTGAGTATTACTCAAATGCGTATGAGACTAACATGAGTTCAGAGTAGAGTAAACAGCTATGACACGTCTTATTATTTTATATCTAAATACAAATATTTAATTCCCATTTCCTCTAATTATCTTCTATTCTCCTCCCTTTCAGTTAGCTTTGGATGCATTCATACATCCAGTGTCTTGAAGGAAGTGGAGAGTTGATTCTTTTCCAATTTTTGTGTTAAACAATATCTCTAATCTCAATGGCATTATGCCTTTAAAAGCTTCCTTTCTTCTAGTCTTAAACTTACTACAATAAAGAAGTAAGTGTTGAACAGTCTGTGTTCCCTTCCAACAAAAGTTGCAAGAGTTATCCCTAACTTTTTTAATCCGAAATAAATGGGTCCTAGTATTTCCAATCCCTGTTCTTGCTTGTATCAATGAAGATTTTGCCATTCTACTGTGATGAATGAAGTTGTATGGTCTCATTTTGTTGATAGGTGATCTTTCCCTGGCTTGCACTTGATAGAGACTTCCCAGTCCTTTTGCCCCTCTACCCCCTTCCTGTCTCAAGACTTGGGTCTCCCAGTCATTTTACCAGGCTTTGAGAGTCAGTTCCTTTGACATCTACTTAAGGTAAGCAATAGTTGTGAATTTATCCCTTTTATTGATATTTTTCTTGGCCCCACCTCTTGCCACATTGTCTGCTAGCTCATTCCCAGCAATACCTTCATGTTGGAAAATATACTCTGTACGATATTATATGGATAAATATGATGAAGTAAAGAAGACTTGATATTTTACAACTATGGGAACATTGGACTTATATATACATCTAAGGGAGAAATTCCCGCTAGCCTCGTGTGCCTGTCAAACCTAGTGATGACTAGCCACCTCTCATCTACCATGATGAGCCAAGGTACACTGTAGTACGTAAATATCCAAACGTATAGGCGACAGTAGGCGCGATTAGCGTACTCAGGACATTTGTAGAGAGAGTCGATCTTGTCGGAAACCTGAGACGAAACAGGTAATGATTGAGTCCTAAATTCGAGAGTCATAATTTCCAACACTTCATGGCCTGGACACCAGTGTATATGAATTTGATATTCTTTGCTTTTCATCCTTATCTGGTGTGGGATGTTTTTTTTAGTTCATTAACGTGCTAGGTGAAATGATTCCCGTTGCACTCCTACTGGAGCTTAAGCAGGAATGGGGTCGGGCCGGATCAGGCTAACTACCTTGAAGTATAGATACACCTCGTCCCACTTAAATGATCAGACCACCTCAGACTTCACCTATGTGTTGAATCATACGAAGCACGACCGTCTAGAAACCCGCTGTGTAAATCCGCTGTATAAACGTCGTAGGGCAAATTCCTCCTTAGCCTCGGCCACCACGCACCCGAGCCCTTGACGTCTTCATTGACTCTGAAATATATTTATAGTCCCAGATCTCATCGGTGCTCTAGCCTTGCACCTTCATATCGTACCATTAGGTTTTTGTCGTCATTGAAGTCCCCTGTTGTTATGGCATGCAATGTGTAAATTCAAGATCGCCGTCTGCCGAATGTATCCTAGTAATTATATGGAGGTAAGTAAACAACATCAATATTTCAAAGAGAATGTAAGTGGATGACTAAGCTGGCGAGATGCTGAGAGGTTGAGATAATTACGATGAGGAACAGATGAAGTAGTAAAATTATTCAAATGTAATATGATAAATAATGCGAGATGGTTAAATTATCAGAAGTTGAAAAATCTAACTAGTTGCGAAGCAGAAGGGTTACTCTGTAGTAGCACCAGATTTCTTAAGTACAATAAATCAATGTTACACGATCCAACATGTGCTAAAATTAGACCTACTCAAGAATCCAACCCATCCCATACTATCTTTGTTCGGTTTCCCGAGAACCGTCTCCCTAGAGTTTCTCCTTGAAACTCATTCAAGAATGTCTCGTCATGATACCATTAGGGTTAAAACAATGATCTGAGTGTCTAATCCTCAATGCTTGTCACTATTAGTATATTCTCTCTCCAAATTTTGTTTACTTATTGAAGCTTGCCTTCCATCAAGTGTGCCAGAGATATTATATAGTCTGTGGCTTGATTTCAACGCTAGTAAGGGTTTTCACTTGATATCGTTCTCTAGCTAAAGGATCATTGATTGATTTAACACGAATCGCGTCTAGTGTAACTACATGATACTTTTTGCTGAAACTCCTCAAGAAGCCTCTCCATATAAAAGCTACGTGCCTCAACGGGGATTTTGTCAAATGATGTTAATATTTTTGACAGGTTTTCTCGACCCTTTTCATATGCCTGAAAATCACGATTTCCATATACATCTTTTCCATTAGCATATCCATGAATGAAGTTTCGGAAAAATACATTCACTGCGATGCTGACATTTGAGATAGGAGCGGCAGTATGAAGCCAGAATGGAGGGATAAAAAGAACATCCCCAGGACTAAGAATAGCCTCGAACGACTGCGGCCCATTAAATGTCTCCTCTTCATGATGTTCAAACACATTGACCGATGAGCTTGAGGCTCCAGGTTTTAAGTCAAAGTATTTGAAATCTAGAGGATGAAATAAAACTAGTCTCCTCTCGCCTTTTATTTGACAGAGGACATTTGCAAGGGTCTAAGAGTAGTAAGCAACCAAAACATATATGTTCTAAATTACTTACATCGTAATGCAACCACATTATCGTAGAGCCTGAAATTCGGAGGGGAGAACTGTGTTGGTTTTCAGTAACAAATGAAAGCTCAGGAGGTAATGAAAAGTCAGATGATAAAGATGGAAAGTCTTTTGCGAAATCAGCTGGATTGGCAGTTGGCTGTTCTGAGGACAGGGAACGGAGATAGAGCCTCCCTCCACATTCAACCTCATTCATGAATTTTCCAAATGTTCTTTTACTGTAATTAAAATTTTTAGTAATGAAGTCCATATGCTGCGTGGTAGCCTCGTGAACAATAACCTTCTTCGGTCAGTAATCTTCAAAATACAACAAAGTAAAACTTTTACCTCCCTCTCCTCTCCAATTGCACACGTCAGGTATTCTGTGGTCCACTTCGAAGTACAAGATCCAATATCTAACCCTTCCAAAATTACTGGTTTTCCGACACTAATAATTTCTTCAAAATGATTTTTAGACTGTATCTTAGCTCGCGTAATTTTCATCGATCCTCTATGGCGCATAGTTTTCTGAGATAGAGTGATTTCTGATAAATTTTTCACATCAATTTTATGCAGAAATCGCCATTGTTCAGGATCTGCGACAGAAGCGGATGATAATGTCAAGCAGCTTTTGTTGGAAAAGGTCCCAAAGGAGAAACAGACCGCAGAGCCACCCAAAATAACGATTGATTTGCCTGTGCTAAAAGCACTAGAGCCTGTGAGCATGGGCCATGGGTTTAGTTGAGATTTTCGTAAGATCGTGCAGGGAGATATCAGATAATCCTTCTCAACTTGAAGACGGATGATTTCGTCCTCACACGAGAGTAATTGGCCTTTAACAATTCCTCCAAGCAAGTATATTTGCCCATGATGTATGACTGCAGAAGCACCGAACCGAGATAACTTTGGATTCTGTTCCAATTTGCTAAAGTATAAATTGGGCTCCTAATGATAGTTAACGAGGCACTAAGTCTGATAGAAATCATTCTAATCTAATCTCTTACCCCACTCGATATTTTAGTCAAGGTCCAGTGCCATATATCATCAATTACAACTCCATCTGTACCAATCCCACCAGCAAGTATTCCAGATGGCATAAGAGTTTGGTCCCCTGGAAACTTCAAAAGAACGGGCCCAGAAACAGGGTGAGGTTTGTTCCCACATATATTGCACTTGACCCATCCCAATTTTCGGCTCCATAAGAGAAAGGAATTTGATATGGTGAAGCTGTTAATCCATCCGGTGGAAACTAAGACAAATTCCGAACTGATACTAATAGCTTGATGCCTATACAATGGCCATGGTAATGTATCCACGCGCTCCCAGTGATCAAGCCATTTGTTATAGATCCAACAGTCGGCGAGGCCAGCGTCCGGAGATGTCCTACCACCGACAAGCAGAGCCCCAGCATCACCAAGGTCTGTAATAGTGTGACACATTCGGCAGCTAGGTACATCTGAGTTTTGAGGGGCAGGTGCCAAATAATCCTGCTTTTGACAAGTATATTCTTCTCTTGAATTCATCCTGGCCTGTTCCATCCCTCCAAACAAAGCAATCCTGTCTTTACCTCGATCCTGCGACTTGACAAACATTGCAGCCGCAAAACGCCTTGCAACTTGTATATTTGGAATAGAGTAAGCTACATTCCAGGCCGAGTGATCTAAGATATTTTCGACCTGCCATGGCACACAATGGGCTTTGACAGGTTCACTGGTAGATGCATTCAGAAGAAAATAGTGGTTTGCAAATAGTGCAAACTCTTCCCATTCATCAAAAGGTTCGATAAGGTCAAGTGACCTTCTCTCGTCCGGAGTCAGGAAACTACTTGAGCCCCAAAGTTCCCAGAGATTGAGGACCTCCACATTTTTCCAGCCCACAACCCTAAAACGATCCTGCTGGGATTTCGCAGTTGGATACTTGTGGACACTGCCAAGTGGTGTTTTTAATTTCTCAAAATGCTTTATCATGGCACGAGCGAAAGGATGCTCTATCCCATGAGGAAGAAGCTGTTCCAAAAGGCAAAACTCAGCTATAATAATGTCAAACAACGTGAAAATCAACTACGTGACATTTACCGTCTGGAAAACTACTTGCCCATTTTATCAGATCATCAGCCGCACCCACATCCATATATGTAAGAGACACCTCAGCTACAAATAACACAGAGCCTGCGCAAATGTTAAAGAAATTTGGAAATTTTGATATTTGATCATACAATTATTCCGTTCGAAAATTCCTGCCAAAGCCTCTTCTAATAAAGTAAGTTCACGTAAATCACATCCCACCTGGAAATATTGATCACTGCGGAGTAATATATTATTCTCAGATGAAACTGCGTTGGTAAGAACAGAATGAAGCTCGGGAAATTGCTGGACAATGGTTCTTTTTCGAGTGATTAAATCTCTATGGTCAACATCAATGAAAATTACTCCCTTGCAGAAAGCCGAATATTTTGCCAGACACTGCCATGGTAGAGGATCGCTGTTTATATTTGAGAACTATTTCCCGTAGCGTGGTTCAGAAGGCAATCAAGACTTACTAACCACATCCAAGATTGATCAATACTCTTTTCTTCTCTGAATTTTTCTTCAGAAAAGCACCAACGGTGTGATCGATAGCCTTCATTCTTAACCAATAACCACGATTGATAAGTGGACATCGTCTTTGTGGTTTTTTGACAAAGTAACGAAAATAGTGCGATTCATCAGGGAAGTATATTCGTTCAACACTGCGCTTAGAAACTATGCTGCTATTGTTAGTTGACATGACGCGCTCATCTTGAGCTTGAACATTTGAATTTCTGGTAGGTATCTTCATTCGATCCCGCATTTTGCGCGCTCTGTAGAAAATTGTGTGTTTATCTGTGAGCTGAAAATGTCAAATTTATAATTGACATATCCTGATGGTTGACAATTGAATGTCAGAGTGGATGCGAGTTGAATTAGACTGTGTCTCCGAACTTGTTCTGCCTGAATCTATCGCCTAAGATTGCCGAATCTGTCAAGCTAAACACCATTTGAATTTGATTTCATTATCCTGATTTAGCGCCCTACGGGCTCTTTTTTTTAATTTCATTTTGTTTTCAGCTATTCAGCTATGAAAATTTATCTAACATCAACACTAAGTAATCAAACTCCCCCAAATAATCTTTCCCATCTTTGTTGTTCCATATATCTACCCCTATGGGCCCATGCAGCTGTCTACAATCTACTATATTTACACGGGAGGAAACCTTTATGGTGAAAACCCCCCACACCTTTCTACATTTTGTCTATAGTTCTCACATATTTTCTTCAGGAAGCGCAGTTACACTGTAGTGCCATCCATGTAAACTAACCAGATCATCTCTATCCGCCCTAAGCATTCTTTGACCTTTTCCTTTCCCTCACCGGCATTTCGACCGCCTATGTCATCTGGAATTGCTCTATCCAACCATGATTCAGGATCCACTGTGTTATCCTTTTTCTATCTCCAGGATTGTTTATCATCGCCTCGTAGGACCGATCTTTGGATTATCTCTAGATCTCTCCTCTTCCATTTGACCATCGGGGGCATGACATAATCATATGCTTGGGGTTCTGTGATTGGTAGCCGCATGGACAACCTGGACTTAATACTCCGGGTACGTTTCTTCTGCGTAAATACAAGTTAAGCCCTATGTGCTCACTTTGTATTTGCATTGCCAAACTGCTTTGGGCCCTGGTCAGGTTACAATGTAGATAGAGTTGTGAGCCTTGAAAACTCAATTTTTACCGTCCAGACTCTCTACTCTGGTAAAATTTGGCTGCTCTCCAAGTTTCGGGATCTGCAGCTGCTAACTGCCGAGGCTTCCGAGTTTGTTTCTGCCTGGCCCAAAATTAAATACCATTACATTAATAAAACGGAAGACGAAGACTGAACGCCTGCCAGTGATGGCCCCTACAAACTCGGAGGTGGAATATTCCGTTAGGGCCGAGACTACGTAGCGAAAAAGGGCCGTGCAAGTTGTGTTTGATGGATTGTCGGCTGTAAGGTGTTGTCGATACTTTGGTCAAAAAATCAGTCCCCGGGGAGAGGGAGATAAGTTTATTGTACTACTTGAGTCTTAGATTATCTAGCACATTAGGCTCCCTTCTGGCCCAGGCCACACCTTGTTTAGTGCTCCTTTACTCTTTTGTTACTTGTAAGATCATTGATATATTACCCGTGATCAATAGCCATTCAGCTGAGTGTTGACCCGTGGAATTCACCATCCTTTTCCACCAAGTTTTCTGCTCCAAAAACAAAATAAAATAGTAATGAAGACTGCGTCCGCTGGAAAAAGTCTCAAAAACCCTGCAGCCCCAGCCAGGCGAGGCCTAGACACCGGGTCCAGATAAGATACGCATATTCATCTATATCTCCCTACCTTGTAACAGTCGAGGTCCAATTGATCCAATCCACCATCTCAGTATCGGGTGCTGGCTACGCTCCGGAAACTCATCGGATGGCTTCTCCTCCATGATCAAGTGTTGGTGATGAGAAAGGCTTCGACCCTTCCATCTAAACTGATCGTGGTTAACTTCATGATAATGGTGATAGGGGAATGTGTTGGGAGATGAAGACGATACAGACCGCGAAAGCGAATGGGAATCCTCGTCGAAGTGAGGACTTTGTTACCCAACTTCGGCACTGCAAACACTGTAGTGAGAGCTATAAGTTCGTAAGAAACACCGCTGACGAGATACATCTTGTTTTTTATTTATTTATATTTCTTCCAGGCACTAGTTTCAACTGAAGCCCCACACTTGAGGGGACATGGAGACTAGGAATTCTGAGTTTTTTTTTTTTTTTTTTTTTTTTTTTTAAATCATTTAATGTGTATTCAGCTATCTAGCTATGACACATGACCGGCGCTATGTATACATGTGGGATGACTCTTTTGAAGTTAGAGACACTCATACTCTGGATTTCATTTGCAAATACCACTATGAGGTATGTTTGCTTACACAAACAGTCGACCCTCCTCCGTTAGTACCCACCAAAGGGAATTTAAAAACCTTTGATTATCCAAGCATGCCTTCGTCATCCATGCATACCAGCGCCGCGAGAAATGTGGTTGTGTTTTGCCGGATTCGAACCAGCGATCTACTGTCTCAAGTGGGATATGTGTCCAAGCTATCCAGACTCTACTTGGTAGACCGGCCAAGACGATGTACCACCGCACTATCCAACCATGGCAGTTTTTATAGTGTCGCCTGCACTCTCGCAGCCGAGGACTTAGCACGCACAAAGCTCAACTAGTAAAAACTCCTTTCCAAAATTCAAAATTCCACGCCCGTCGAGACTGTATCCAATCCTCTGCATCATCTTATTAACTTGTCCTGATCCCTCTCACATCCTTCCCAAGGAATTGTCTTCCAGATTTGTGCGCCACGCTTTGCTTCCTCCGTCGGGTGTAAATATTGGCGTGGGCGTGTATCTGGCGACCAGCTAAGGCCAGAGAAAGTCGACAAGAGGTGTGGTCATTGGGATTAGGATGTACTAGGTCGTACTTGTAAACTTGATGAGGTTTAGGTAGGAATCGATTTCGTTGGGAGTGAAAGATTGATATGGTGGAGTAATTTGAATCATTGCCTCGTGGGCCAACTTGTTCGGTATTGCGAAGTTTGACTGAACTTGGCTCTGGGAGAATATTTCACTCCCAGGTTCGTAGAGGACACCGCGTACAGGTGTTCAGTCTTGCCCTCCAATTCTGAGTTTATACGCTACAAAGCACTTTAGCGTAGATGGGCAGCTCGTGCTTATGCACGTGCCCTCATTTCGAACAAGAGCATTAGTCTCTGATGACGGCGGCGGTTTGAGAGAGCTCTATCTATAACATGTTATTGACTAATCACCATCAGGCTGACATGGATCCAGGGTAAATATGGTCCACACGTTTTCGTTCACTTCAATTCCATCTCTCAGCTAATGCTTTCTACGCGCAATTCTGACGCCGTTGTATATTTGAAAAACTATTGAAACTCTATTTCTATTGAACTTTAAATTACCCATCACGTAATCGCAGGTTCCATAAGAACTGTATTCACCCCAATTTGTCCAATTCAGTACCTGGCATCCGCGGCATTGATAGTGCGGCTGTGGCCGATCAAATGTCTTTGAACTTTGTCACTTTTAATCAAGACTTCAGCTGTCTAGCTGTTGGTAGGTAAAAATTCTGGTCGAAAAGAAATCTGCTGAAGCGTAAACCAGGAACTTCTTGCGGATTCCGAATATACCATACCGAACCATTTGCGAAGATTTTCAGTAGTGACGATGGAAATGTCACACTCGTTGAGATGCTTTTTTCGACATCACTCGTTGCCCTAGTACTTTCTCCTCGACATCTTGTCATACATAATACCAAGGTAAATACAAAAAAAAAGTCTAGCATTTCAACTATCTAATAATCTACAGAAATCTACAGTCATTTGTGAACTCACATTTCCATCAGCTGTCCTCGCTGTCAAGCTGAATAGGAAACGCATGGCTGTTGCTTTAGAAGAAGAAATATATCTATATGACATTTCTAATATGACGCTACTTTATACAATTTCAACTTCTCCTAATCCCAATGCAATTTGTGCTCTCGCTTCTTCATCCGAAAACTGTTACCTAGCTTACCCCTTACCAAAACCGAGAGAAGAGATCAATGATCGGAGACCATCTCACGCCCCTCCAGTCTCGACATATGTTCCCCCAACAACCGGAGCAGTTTTAATTTTTGACGCATTTGGACTTGTAGCATTAAATGTCGTAGAAGCCCATCGCTCGCCATTGTCTTGTGTTGCATTAAACAATGAAGGTACACTTTTAGCGACTGCTTCTGAAACAGGAACAATCATTAGAGTATTCTCTTTACCAAAAGGAAACAAGCTATTTCAATTTAGGAGAGGTACATATCCATCAACTATATACAGCCTGTCTTTCAACTTAAGCTCAAAACTATTATGTGTCTCTTCTACGACAGACACCGTTCACATTTTCCGTCTAATAAGCTCATTTGATCAAGTCAACAAATCCGGCAAGCCCCCAGCTAACTATCTTTGGAAAACATCTTGTCACCGAGAGGACTCTCGAGAACCAACTACACCAAATAGTGGTAGATTTCTACCCTCGAATACGCAACAATCTAGCGGCACCCTTGGAAACATAATCAAGAAGTCATCGCAAATCATGGGTAAAAGTGTAGCTGAAGTTATGGGCGGATATATCCCCCAAGCTGTAACTGAGATCTGGGAACCATCCCGGGATTTTGCTTTTATCAAAATTCCGAAGAGTATGGTAAAATCTAATTGCAGCGGCGGTCCCTTACGAAGCGTCGTTTCTATGAGTAGTAATAGCCCTCAGGTTATGCTAGTTACAAGTGATGGTGAATACTACGTTTTTAACATTGACACTGAAAACGGCGGAGAAGGTGTATTAACCAAACAATACTCGTAAGTTAATCCGGAGCAAAATGCGGCCACGGTGTCTTAACTCTTTATAGTGTCTTGGAACCCGCAAATAGGACTAGTCACGTCTATGCGGAGAGCAGAGTGTGATCTTCTATCAGAGATAAACAACAAAACTTAGACATTTTCAGGCTCCACCTATCAGAACTGGCAAAAAAACTCTACGCAGATACAATAACTCTTCAAAAAATGGAAAATCTTAGAATTAAATCCTACGGTATTTATCTGGGAGGGCCCTCACTAACAAGTAAGTTAATTGCTGATATTTATCAGCTCCAAGCTCACCATGAAAGGCATTTAAACTAATCAAAAATTCAATTTGCTCATGATAGTTATCGAGCTAATCAAAACTTTATCAAGAAATTGATTCCAAGCTGCAGAAATCTTCACTATGGCTCAGGAACAATTCTTAAGGCTTATTCAATAAACTATAGATAGATCATCCAGCAAGTAAGCTTATTCAATGATCCTTTCACGCCAAAAACTTCGATGAGACTTGCCTCTATAAGCACATCTAAGCTTTAATGTATCCAATACCCTGAAACCTATCAGTTTAATTCAAATAACCAAATTGTTACCACAAACTCAACAGCAGAACCTCGGTAAATATAACCCAAGATATGAAAACGGAAATGAATTTGAAATTGAAGCACTTAAGCTGTCATGCAAAGCTCAAGGACATTCTGTGAATGAAATTAAATCACCAATAGTTACATGAGTATTGGCTTCTATTTTGCCATCTTCATCAAGATAGCGTGATTAAGAAGATGACTATGCAAGCATTGAGACATTAGCGGCTGTTATTCACCATAATCAGCTGAATCTTTAACCTTATCGCGAAGATAGTGGATAGCAGCTAAAAGAGACTTCTATCACCAAAGCAATGTTAGATCACCTGAGCCTCAAATCATAGAAAATGTATTGTCAGTAAACCATCTCGATTTATCGACCTTGATGTCGTACCCAACAGTTCCAGCTCCTTTCACGAGAAGACTCATGGGAGTCTATTTGTCAAATATTATGGGTAGATCGCGTGATTCTAGCGTTGTCAGGACCTTTCAAGTATACCTCTGTTGGAAAATCTTCCAAATAAAAATTTATATGATTGGAAAGCTCTGGGTAAGATAATCACAGCTAGAACTGTTTATCGAGGCCTCGCAAACTACCATTAATGCTTGAGACACAAAAAAGCTTGTCTGAACTATCCTGATGAATCACAAAAACCTCTAACGAACTTTATATGTTGTCGAATTGTCCGTCGACGAAATGGCCGCCCTACATAGCTGTTGTCCTACCACGGTAGAATCGATCGAAGGCAAAATGTCGACCTAATGGAGACGCTCACATGAGGCTGAGTAAGGCTAAAAAGGAAGCACAAGCAATCAATTATACCCAAAACATGGAATCTATAATTTTCTCCATGCAATTACTCTCTATATGTTTGCATTCAGGTTCTGCTCTGGAAATTTGTACTGCACTTTGTTGATCCTGCGTTTTACTTTTTGCGATATTAGGGCTCATCATGCTTCCAAATTGTGTTCAACATTAGAAGACACTGTATGTGTGTAGGTCAGGATGGTGTGATTACGTAGTTTAGAAGATGGAAATTAATCGAAGGAAGACGAACGAACTTGTACTAAAAGAGAGGGGTTTGAGGATACCTGCGCTCAGGTACCCAGGAATTAGGGACTATTCTTGGGTGTTCTCTATCTGCTAGTAAATAAACACCGGAATGACATGACAGAAATTGTATAGAAGGTAGTTGTTGATAGACGAGGGCTAGATAATCTTTTGCTTAATTTAGATTTCGATACTGATCGTGTGAGACTGATATCTTAAGCCCCGAACGATAACAGTCTCTCAAACTCAACAGCAACCACAAGGGAATCAGTCGATTTTTTCTCTCTTTTTGAGAAAATATCCATGTTTCGATCCTGTACCACGAAAGGGGAATGGGACAACGGGCTAGGAAAGGGCGGAAACTATGGGCTCATATACGAACTCTTTTCCATTTTTTGTGTCATTTCTGTGTATACAGCTATCTAGCTATGACATATGATTAGTACTACCATTCCTGAATACTTTTGAGAAAATTGATGAGATAACCCATAAGGATCTCTTTTACTATTCGATTTGCATACATTTACACCGATTCGACTTCTCATAATAGCAACACCCCGGATCTCCAACATGCCTCTAGGGCCTGCCAAATCATCAAGCTTGCCATAAAATAATCATGGAAAGAATAAGTAACAGGCTGATAAAGCGCTTTGGGAAAAATCATAACATTTAGCTCGATAGATGGGCGAAAGATGAAGTTGGACATGACCGAGAGGATAAGAGCCTTCAAAGAAGACTCAATCTCAACAGACCCAAATATTGAGATGGGTGATGTAGCTGCCAACCAATTTATCAAAGAGGAGCTTGAGAGCTTACGGTGGGATATAAATGACCCCGAGGACGAACAGATCTTAGAGGTCCCCGTCATTACTAACACAAGGAAGATTGCTATACCGGTGATGAAGCGAACAGCTAACATTGACACAAAAAGGGCCGAAAGATCCACGACCACAAAAACCCCTCAGAATATCATTAGGAGCGCACGCGGAAACCTCCAAACTACTTGCAGCGATAGTAGCTCAAAAAACATTGCAACATGTCCTCCCGAGCTTCGAGCCACAGTTTAAGCTGAAGAATAGCAGACAGCCTAGACAGCAACCAACCTTACAATATACACCGCTACTATCAACGATATAGAGAATGCGCTCTCACATTTGTCCAAAGGGTCGAGCGTTCAAATTATAGACTCCGTGAAAGTCTGCCTTCGAGCTGCAGTAGCTCAATTCATGATGTAGGGATTAGGAACAGTCTTTCTCAACCTTCCACCATACCCAAAATGCCAGAATCATGGCGGAAAGATCGTGGAAAAGCGATTTCAAAGCAGCCAGATCTGCAATAAAAAGAGAACCAGGCTGATGTGACTCAGGTCAAGCCTAACTGGGCGATAGCTACCCGAACTGGAATCAAGACGCTCGCAGCACAAGTGAATGATATTAGAGTCCACAACAAACCATCTGCATCAACGAGATATCCAGCCAGGGCCACGATTACAGCCTCAAAAGATGACTGTCTACATCTTCGACTTGGCAAAGACCACACCTTACGCGCACTCTTGTCATCTGGTGTACGAGATACGTTAGCAAAAGTACTCGAGCTTCTCCCACAAAACTTTGAACAAATATACCGTGTTATGACTGGCTTCGCACTTCGAGTCAAAAACCAGGAAGTATGACAGCTCCTTCTAAGCTCTGCCGAATCGTTTGTCCAGGTAGACGCAAGGCTGTAGAAGGTCTCAGATCTAGTGGTCTTTCGTATCGCGACAATTCCAGTCACAATTTATACACTTCTAGGCAAAGTAGTTACTACTGACGAGATGGTGGCAGATAAAATCGTCTGAGTTACCAAAAAGGTTCCGGCAAGGGTCCGCCCTCATGGAAAAGGGAGAGTCGGTGCCCCATACCAGTCATAGGTAGCTCGCTTCGAAAGAGCGTCCATCCCTAGACCAGGCTTCCGACTATTTGACGACTCGGGAATCGCTATTCGCCATCAGCCCCTCCCAATTTTGAGCCAATGTTAGCGATATCTCCTATATCACGAGACCCAGAGTTGGTCACGCGCCCCAATATGCTGGAACAGCACCTCGACAATGCACTCCATATCGGAATGTGTTACGGTTTGACCGTTGTTTTAGCTTAGGAGGAAACCTAAGCGTTTAATTAGGAATAATTACGATAAGACTGAAAGAGGAAGGATAGGCAAATAGAGATGAAACGGCACTACTAGCCAGGAGGTCGAAGAATTAGAATGGTTCCGGAAATTTTAAGAATGACTGTTGTGCCTTTAGCACGTTCACCATGCATAACACACCTTGCGCTAGGTGTGTCATGCTAGCAATACATTAGGAAGTGTTTGATGGGTTTGTTTCTGTAATCTAAGCGGGGCTGTAGTGTAAATAGGGGTCGGAGCTCCCCATATTGTAACATAGATTAATCAACATCTTTCCGCACTTTATTCCCAATAAAGCTATCCCAACAGTCAAAGGTCAGCATCATGGTGATACATCCTAACCCATAACTGTAACAATGACATACCAAGTATGAGGATGAGTTAGAGTTATGATGAGTTTGTTTAATGTACGACGAAGTCTACTGATGTTTAATGGATAGTTAATTGTGATTAAATTGCTATAATTCTACATGTGTGGCGAGAAGTCCCTCTATATACATGAAAGCGAAGTTTTCCGCACAATAGTGTGAACTCCAACATACTTCCTAATCTAACCTAAACGGGAAGGTTGTTGGAGATCCTGAAGCCAATGTATGCTGTCAGTCATCTATTGGCTAATTACTATTCATGCCAGTGAGTGATGATCTAGGTCAATCATATCCCATGGCGCATGTGCACATTATTCAAATGTGAACAGTTTATTGTAATGCAGTCATGTTACTCCCTTAATTACAACAGCTTGCCCCAATAAGTCTGGAACGGCCTCGAGCGAAAATCTTGTAAATATCAGGCAGGCTAGCCAACGCGAATATGCCACGGTGATTCGAGCAAAAACCGCCGTTCGACGAGCAGAGGCCGCTATTAAAGCAGTCACTAAGACGGACAAAATAAGTCCACAGAACTACAGATCTAACAATAGCTTTGAAGTTCTGATGACGGATCAAATGCCAAACGTGACTGAGGTCACAGAGGCAGTCATCCCGAAAAATCACTCATAAAAGGCGCCCCACGGGCCCCTTTCCACTTCACTCCTACTCCAAATTTCATATCGCTAAACTTAGGTAGACGAAGACCGGCGTAGAACATTGCACTCGCTAGAGAATTAGAGCTGACTGTCGATATTGTTTTAATCTAAGAATCTCGGTTGAAGGAAAAGACGATCTCGCGTCCTGGATATATTCGCCATCTACCTTATGGTGGCGAAAAGGTCAAGCCAATGGCTGTGACCGACACCTGGAAAGATGGGTGTAAGTGTCATAGTTTATCTCAGCCTGACATGATCCTGAATAATTTTAGCCATGACA